AAATAGAAATGTATAGTTCTGTACCTGCTGCAACAGCTACTCCAGTAACAAACCAATTGGTGAAACTGAAGTAATTAATAAGTTTGTATATATCAGAGGTAACCAACATTGCTAGCGATACCACACATGAGATTATTAATGAAGGCGTTGGAGTGGACCTATTGTTCATATTTTCAAGAATTCAATATAATTTTAATGGTTTAAAAATTTGAAGATTAACCATATTCTCAGTATTGTTTTATTAACAATAGACTACCTATTGATGTGAATCATTCCTAAAATACTGGGCAATTGTTTTTGTTGAGCGCCGACACAAAACAGTCTATTTTGATAAATTATAATTAAATTACAGAAATTACAGCTTTCGTATTGAAAAGTACCTGGCTGATGTGAAAATAATGCCGTTGACACTGCCGAAAGTGGATAGACCTACAGCTATAGGCATTAAAGGTGCGACTATACCGAGAACTTTATTAGCGAATACCTAAAAGTTATTGCAATTTATTATTATTATCCAAATCAACGGATATTATTCTCATGTAATGAGTTTCATTTATAGTTAGTTTTACGGTAATAATGATAGAGTACTGTAGATATTTTTAAATAGAAAACGTGTTATATTTTAACAAAACCAATAAAAACGAAAGAATAACTTTATAAGAGATATGAATACCATAGCAATAGCTGGAGAGTACAGAACTTCAACGGGTGTGAGAATCACAAAATAGGAGATATTTGTCAACACATAGACCAGAGTGGAGATTAAAATTCCAATGAGTGCTGCTTTGGGCAGATTTCTGTGACAAACAATTAGGGAAACGATTGAATCAATGAAATCTACAGAATATTCTTATTATATGAGATATAGTACTTATACGGATCCTTAAGCTCTTCGGTAACGAAATTCAAGTAATTCCTAAAGAATTCAAATAAGAATCAAATTATAGTAAGAACGAGTGGGTAGTATGGATGACATACCAGCCCCCAAATGCAAATAAACCCGAATAAAAGGCAGAAGAATAGCTTTGTTGACATGTTTTATGTAATAAAGGATCCAATGAATCGGATGTGAGATTTTTTGTATGACCTGTCGTTAAGTAAATCATTCATTCTTATCACTATTGTATTAATGAAAATATGATATACAGAATAAAGTATTATATTATACCAAATGATTCAAGAATTTATCGCACTTTAAGAATGAGTTATAGCTTTGGTTCAGAATATCTCGTAAATAGATTAAAGCAACAGTTGACAGAATTTCTGATTAAATTATTTTAAATTTAAATATATATCTTTTAAATATATTATTTACTGTAATATGTTTAGCTCTGATTAAATCTGCCTATTACCAAACATTTTATAATTGTGGATGTCATGTTATTTTATTTTAATTAAAAATTTTTGTTTTAGAAATGCTTAAATTTATGATACTTTTCATATTTCATAAATCATATTCAGTAACCAAATATGGTTTTAAAGAATTAATATGCTAATACTGTATTAGTAATACATGTTAGTATTATTGTTTGTTTTGTATTAATTTTATAATAATAAGTTTTTAATTTAAGTTTATCTATGAAATATATTTTCATTTTAATCATACAGTATATTGTATAATTTAATTATAATTTCAAATTACCGGTAGTAATAAAATATTTTACAAAATCATATAACTAAT